ATTTAATTAACAGCCTATATGTAAGAGACCCCAAGTGGCATTATGCAGATTACAAAGCAGAGAAAAGAGTTAATGGGATTGGTAATTTGAAGCCATTGGGGGTTAGTAACAAATTGCTAAAAATACATTCACCCATAGCAAGCAACATTAACAATGTGCTTCAATCACATTCAGTACAAGTCCTGCTGTAAGCACGCCCTCATTTTATTCTAATGCACACTACTAAAGGATGACCATAAATGACCAGAAGAGGCCAGGGAGACATTTGCCTTCCACTGATTGTATCAGGACCTAGTAACCAACTAAAAAGAAAGGTGTGGTAACTGTTCATTACCTCCTTACCTATCAGCAAGATTACTTTGTAGGCAAAAAACAAGAAGCATTTAACATTATAAAGCATCCCTATAAATATGTGCACCCACTTTATTGCAGCTCAACAATGGCTGGAAGTTAGCGTGCTCTCTCTCTTGAACTTACAAGTTTTTACAGAAATCATTTCAAACAAAGATGGTTCAGTGGCTGAATCATGTATGTATAGCTGGCATCTATAATCTGTAGATGACTGAGTAAACCTTTAAGAGAGCAATAGGGGGAGCCTTTAATTCTTTCACTGCCAGGCCATGCAGTCCACTTTAAATCTGAGGTGGCCAGAGCACTTTTGAAATTCTTTTCACTTACAGCTGTCAGAGTTTGTAAAAGAACCCCTGAAGTATACATATTTTGAACATACAGGACTGATAGAATAAAAAGATGGTGCCATTGACTTTGTAGGTCCCGTGATAGTTGTGCACATGTTTATAAATGATATTTTCAATGAAAATACACAAAAATAATTGTTAGCACTTATAAACACAACAAAACTTACAAGGTTCCCATTGAATATTAAAAGTAGAACTAGAACGCAAAACTTTTTCACTTACAGCTTTAATGGTTTGTAAAAGACCCCACAAACCATACATTTTCCTAAGCACAGGAGCAACAGAATAAAAAGGCGATACCACTGGTTTTGGAGCTCCTTTAACAGTTACATAAATGTTTATCAAAAAATACAATAAAATCACTATTAGGGCACACAAACACGCCATGTGTGCGCTATGTTGTGATGAAAAAATGCAGGCATATATTTTATCACAACATAGTGCATAAAGTTAAATAAATAAAGCTTTGAAAGCACTGCAGCATGTGCACAGCACACACATGTGCACACTCATTATGTGCAACATAATACGTCTCTGCTGGTGTGAATGGGCCCTTACTGTACCGCAACAAATGGGAGAATGCAGCCTCCATATCATTTTCAGAAAGGTAAATTTGTGATAGCAGCTTCCACCAATATTTAAGTGCAAAGAGGTGAAATTTTTATGCCTCTAGCAAAACATTTAAAGCATGCACAAAATGAACTGTCCAAACCTTTTCTTGGGGAAGGAAAATTTATGCCGGGGTTGTGTCCAGGGCAGGACGCCAGTATTTCAATTGGTGCAAATTCTGCAGGGTTGACTTCTTGAGATTAAGGATCCAGTCAAAGTCCTGCAATACCATCTGCTGCACATTGGCCATGAGGTCTTCTCTCAATTGCTTCTGCAGAAATAGGTTGTTCAGATACTCCAGAATGGAGATCCTCCTGCCTCACAGAAGAGCCAAAACTTACACCAGAACCTTGTGAATGGTACTGTTGGACATCTTGAGCCATACAAGGAAGATCGCAGATCCATATGGCCACAAAAGCCACAAAGCATGCACTCACTTGCAGAAGATGGGGCTTCCCTTAAGTGGAAGGCTGCTTGTTGTCCTGACAGGCTTGGGGCTTCAGAAATTTTTCAAAAGGAAGTTTTCCATTTTCCCCGTTTTAAAAAGAATTAACGGAATCCTTAGTTCCAGACAAAGGTGGCTTCTGCTCTGTAAGCTTTGATTGCTTCTTTACAGGTAACAGAATGCTCTATCCTCCTGTGATTTTTTTGGATAAATGTTTCCACAACCATTGCTGAAGAGGAGTTCACTTTCAAAATTATGAGTTCCAGCTGCTTTGTACAGGGTAGTTCAGCTGACCAGGATTTAAACCACAGCACCTGCCTCATGTTCATTGACATAAGCCCTAGACAAGACAGTTGTGGCGAGAATCTCCCAATCCATCCACACAAAAGTGCAATGCTTCAGGGAAGCTGCTATTTGCAGAATGAGACCAAAAGGCTCCACGTTCTTTTGCCATATGCTTTGTAAATACCAGCAAAGCCTGGAAACCTCAATGGTTGTGATGGTGGGTTGCAAGGCTGTAGTAAAGGAAAAGGATGACTTAAAAATGTATTCAAATGTATTTGTTCACAGGCTCCCTGAACACCAGTACACGGTCCACCAGTACAGTACACTTTTTGTGGAAACTGTCTTCCATTGCATGAACTGCTTAGTGTGCACAATACTTTGTTGTATTTGTACACATTTACTATGTTGAGCAACAATTCTTTTTTTCAGATCCTCAGAGTTCTTTGCCATGAGGTGCCATGTTGAACTTCCAGTGACCAGTATGAGAGTGTAAGTGATAACACCAAATTTAACACACCTGCTCCCCATTCACATCTGAGACCTTGTAACACTAACGAGTCACATGACTCCTGTGAGGGAAAATGGCTAATTGGGCCCAATTTGGACATTTTCACTTAGGACCTTTTTTGCCAGCGGTTTAGACATTAATGGCTGGGTGTTGAGTTATTTTGAGGGGACAGCAAATTTACACTGTTATACAAGCTGTACACTCACTACTTTACATTGTAGCAAAGTGTCATTTATTCAGTGTTGTCATATGAACAGATGTAATAAAAATTGACAAAAATGTGAGGGGTGTACTCAGTTCTGGGAGATACTGTATATGTGTGTGTATGTATATATATATATATATATATATACACACACACACACACACACAGTGCCTTGATAAAGTACTCATACCCCTTGAAAATTTTTCCACATTTTGTCTTGTTACAATCCAACCACAAGCATAAATGTATTTTACTGGGATTTTATGTGATAGACCAACACAAAATGGCACATAAATGTGAAGTGGAAGGTAAATGATAAATGGTTTCCAAATTTTTAACAAAATAAATATCTGAAAAGTGTGGTGTGCATTTGCATTCAGCCCCCATTATTGATACCCCTAACTAAAATCTAGTGGAACCAATTGCCTGCAGAAGTCACCTAGTTAGTAGAGTCCACCTGTGTGTAATTGGATGGAGCCAAATACAGGGAAATATTAGAAGAAAACCTGTTAGAGTCTTGAGACTGGAGCGGAGGTTCACCTTCCAGCAGGACAATGACCCTAAACATACAGCCAGAGCTACAATGGAATGGTTTAGATCAAAGCATATCCATGTGTTAGAATGGCCCAGTCAAAGTCCAGACCTAAATCCAATTGAGAATCTGTGGCAAGACTTGAAAATTGCTCTTCACAGATTCTCTCCATCCAATCTGACAGACCTTGAGCTATTTTGCAAAGAAGAATGGGCAAAAATTTCACTCTGTAGATATGCAAAGCTGGTAGAGACATATCCAAAAAGACTTGAAGCTGTAAATGCTGTGAAAGGTGGTTCTACAAAGTACTGAGGGCTGAATGCAAATGCATGCCACACTTTTCAGATATTTACTTGTAAAAAATTTAAAAACCATGTATCGTTTTTTTTCCACTTCACAATTATGTGCCACTTTGTGTTGGTCTATCACATAAAATCCCAATAAAATAAGTTTACATTTGTAGTTGTAACATGACAGAATGTGGAAAATGTGAAGGGGTATGAATACTATTCAAGGTACTATGTGTGTGTATATATATATATATATATATATATATATATAGAGAGAGAGAGAGAGAGAGAGAGAGAGAGAGAGAGAGAGAGAGAGAGAGAGAGAGAGAGAGAGAGAGAGAGAGAGAGAGAGAGAGAGAGAGAGAGAGTGTGAGTGTGTTTGTATATATATATATATATATATATATATATATATATATATATATATATATATATACATATATACACACACACATACATACAATGTCCAATTTCCTTTAGATTTACCTTCAGCTATGTAGTACTGTCGAATTGGATACAATTGAAAGTGTTGTTTAGGTTTGACCTTATATTATATGGCTTTTGGTAAATCTAAACCAAAATTCTCAAGAAAATTGTATAATATAGTCTGTAGTGTTCATTATTGAGTTTAGGAGTGTGTCTATGAGAATCTTTGACCATTCTTTCAGAAGTGCATTTGTGAGGTCAGGCACTGATGTCGGACGAGAAGGCCTAGCTCACAGTTTCCACTTTAATTCATCCCAAAGCTGTTCTATCGGGTTGAGGTCAGAACTCTGTGCAGGTCAGTCAAGTTCTTCCACCCCAAACTCACTCATCCATGTCTTTATGGACCTTGCTTTGTGCACTGGTGCGCAGTCATGCTTGAATAGGAAGGGGCCATCCCCAAACTGTTCCCACAAAGTTGGGAGCATGAAATTGTCCAAAATGTCTTGGTATGCTGATGCCTTAAAGAGTATCCTTCACTGGAACTTAGGGGCAAAGCCCAACCGCTGAAAAACAACCCCCCACCATAATCCCCCCTCCACCAAACTTTACACTTCACATAATGCAGTCAGGCAAGTACTGTTCTCCTGGCAACTGTCAAACTCGTCCATCAGATTGCCAGACAGAGAAGCATGATTCATCACTCCAGAGAATACATCTCTACTGTTCTAGAGTCCAGTGGCGGCGTGTTTTACACCACTGCATCCACCACTGCATCCGATGCTTTGCATTGCACTTGGTGATATAAGGCTTGGATGCAGGTGCTCGGCCATGGAAACCCATTCTATGAAGCTCTCTACACACTGCTGTTGTGCTAATCTGAAGGCCACACGAAGTTTGGAGATCTTTAGCTATTGACAGTGCAGACAGTTGGCGACTTCTGTGCACTATTCGCCTCAGCATGCGCTGACCCTGCATTGTCAGTTCACTTAGCCTACCACTTCGTGGCTGAGTTGCTGTTGTTCCCAGTTACTTCCACTTTGTTATAATACCACTAACAGTTGACTGTGGAATATTTAGTAGGCAGGAAATGTCACGGATGGACTTATTGCACAGGTGGCAACCTATCACAGTACCACACTTGAATTCACTGAGCTCCTGAGAGCGACCCATTCTTTCACAAATGTTTGTAGAAGCAGTGTGCATGCCTAAGTGCTTGCTTTTATTCACCTGTGGCCATGGAGGTGATTGGAACATCTGAATCAAATGATGTGGTGGGGTGTCCCAAAACCTTTGGCAATATAGTGTGTGTGTGTGTGTGTGTGTGTGTGTGTATATACATATATATATACATACATACACCGGTCCATGTTCTGTGGACATATGAGGAACAAGCCGCAGGACAGTGTGCTTTCCATGAGCAGCTGATTGTCAGATCCTATTTAACCTCATCCAAAATAAACAGTGGCATACAATTTGAAGCTATTGCAACGTCTCATATTTTTTATGGCTTTGCTAGTATATAAACATAGCTCAAAACCAGTAAAGCGTAAGTGGCATTTTTGTTCTCTCCAAACGCTTTGCAAATATTAAACAGCGAAGTCATTAAAAGCTAACCATTTCCACATTGTGTTAATTAAACGGTTAGCTAACGGGTTTAATGTCTGCCTACACAAACACCCAGCCGAATGACAAGCACATCCCACAAACAGCAAGAATGGCACAATTGCCATGTACAGTATGAACCTCTCAGCAGCATCTTACTTAAAAACCCTAAAACAGCTTTCTGGAAACTGTTCCAATTAACATGGAAAAGATGAAGTCAGAAAGTAATAATTAATAAACTTCAACTTGTGTAATTGCAGAGCTTTCATTATACAGCTGGATTCTTGATTGCGGAAACTGTAAGGCCCTGTGTGCTGCTAGTCAGCTGAAGATGGTGACTGACGTCAGAAAATAAGTATGCGGGGTAAAGATGCTAGCGGAGACGTAATATTCCTCTTTGCTTGCTTTCCAAATGACTTGCTCTAGGGGGCTTGTGGCTCTCTCAGAAGAGTGAACAAACAAATCAAAAGATGTTTAAGCAGTTAAACCTCTAAATTAACATGACAAGATAAGATGACTGATGAATGAGCAAAGGCTGACAGCTACAGGTCCTGGGATAAATGTGCAGTCATAGACGGTAAACCAAACATTACTCATCACTGTTATGCATCAAACAGCAAGCGTCACGGATGAAAAAAAATGGTGGCCAACCAATACAATTTCAAGTCCATCAAATATGAGCTGTTAACTGCTCTGACAGGCTGCTCATAATAAAATGATTATACGTTATTTTTTCACAAATGTCACAGAATCTTCTCATTCAATCTAGTTCATTAATCACTTTGCTCAACAAAACTGATTTTTTTTAGCTATCCTTTGATAGGTTCATTGTATCTATAGCCACAAAAATGTCTTTTCATTTTGAATAGAGCACAGAACAGTCAGAACTTTTTTTTTTTATTTGTTTTGGCTGTCTGTAGCCCTGTTCAGAAGCTTTTCCGTTACGTGCTGGCAAGTGACAACTTTGTTACTGGGACACAAAGTGTGAGAAATTCACTCTAGCAGGAATAAAATAAAAATTAACAAAATGGAAATTAAAAAATGTGAAGCGTATTGGAAGACTATAAATTTCAGAAACTGTTTTATGACAGCCTGTCTCCTCATATGTTATTTCCCTCATTTCCTGCCACACTGACTTGTCACCAGAATAGGAAGAAAAGAGAAAACTTTCCAGTAGGATACAGAAAAAAAGGTTTACCACAGGACACATACCACAAATATCTTAGAAAGTTAGAATATTCCTTTATACCACATTTCAAAAGCAGTATCAGTGAAGAAAGTGGGGAAATACATGTCTGGAGGAATCACAGGGAAATGCATATAAAAAAAAATGATTGCAGCTACAGTGAGGAACAGAAGTATTTGAACACCCTGCGATTTTGCAAGTTCTCTCACTTAGAAATCATGGAGGAGTCCGAAATTCACATTGTAGGTGCATTCCCACTCTGAGAGACAGAATGTAAAAAAAAAAAATTCAGGAAGTCACATTGTATGATTTTTAAAGAAGTTATTTGTCTTTCACTGCTGAACATAAGTATTTGAACACCTAAGAAACAGCAAGAATTCTGCCTCTAAAAGACCTGTTACTGTGCCTTTAAAAAGTCCACCTCTACTCCACTCATTAATCTAACTTACTAGCACCTGTCTGAGCTCTTTTAAGACACCTGTCCACCCCACAGTCAGTCAGACGCCAACTACTACCATGGACAAGACCAAAGAGCTGTCAAAAGACACCAGAGACAAAATTGTGGACCTCCACAAGGCTGGAAAGGGCTACGGGGCAATTGCCAAGCAGCTTGGTGAAAATAGATCAACTGTTGGAGCAATTGTTAGAAAAGGAAGAGGCTAAAGACGACTGTCAGTCTCCCTGGGACTGGGGCTCCATGGAAGATCTCACCTCGTGGGGTATCACTGATGATAAGAAAGGTGAGGAATCAGCCCAGAACTACAAGGGAGGAGCTGGTCAATGACATGAAGAGAGCTGGGACCACAGTTTCAAAGGTCACTGTCGGTAGAACACTACGCCGGCATGGTTTCAAATCATGCATTGCATGGAAGGTTCCCCTGCTCAAGTCATCACATGTCCAGACCCGTCTGAAGTTTGCCAATGACCATCTGGATGATCCAGAGGAGGCATGGGAGAAAGTCATGTGGTCAGATGAGACCAAAGTAGAACTTTTTGGTCTAAACTTCACTCGTCGTGTTTGGAGGAAAAAGAGGGATGAGTTGCATCCCAAGAACACCATCCCTACTGTGAAGCATGAGGGTGGTAACATCATGCATCTGCGAAGGGGACAGGACAACTGCACTGTATTAAGGAGAAGATGAATGGGGAAATTTATTGTGAGATTTTGAGCAACAACCTCCTTCCCTCAGTCAGAGCACTGAAGATGGGTCGTGGCTGGGTTTTCCAACATGACAACGACCCGAAGCACACAGCCAGGATAACCAAGGAGTGGCTCCGTAAGAAGCATATCAATGTTCTGGAGTGGCCTAGCCAGTCTCCAGACCTAAATCCAACAGAACATCTTTGGAGGGAGCTGAAACTCCGTGTTGCTCAGTGACAGCCCCGAAACCTGACAGATCTAGAGGTGATCTGTGTGGAGGAGTGGGCAAAAATCCCTGTTGCAGTGTGTGCAAACCTGGTCAAGAACTACAGGAAACATTTGACCTCTGTAATTGCAAACAAAGGCTTCTGTACCAAATATTAACACTGATTTTCTCAGGTGTTCAAATACTTATGTTCAGCAGTGGAAGACAAATAAATTCTTTAAAAATCATACAATGTGATTTTCTGAATTTTTTTTTTATTCTGTCTCTCAGAGTGGGAATCCACCTACAATGTGAATTGCAGACCCCTCCATGATTTCTAAGTGGGAGAACTTGCAAAATCGCAGGGTGTTCAAATACTTCCTTTCCTCACTGTATATATTGCAACTTACCAAACCTTAGATGTGGAAGCTGCATTAGGTTTCTTTTTAAGTGTTCTTGCATAGCAAGAGCACTTATTGTTATCTCACAAGTAATTCTTATTCTTATTATAGCCAAATTTGCCACGCTAACTCCTCCCACAGTTTTTACACTACAAAGACAAGTAATATATCAAAACATGCGGATTGTTCCCGATCGGATTGCTATTACTTTGTGGAATGTTTCGCCTAATCGTTCACAAAATATCGTGGTTTTTGTGGCAAAATTTTTCCATAGGAATGCATTGAGCAGCAGAGCACAGCTAGAGTGTGCAAAGGAAAAATCAGAACATGATTTGTAAACTGCCATCACTCTGTCATGTTCAAGCCCACCTACACATATCTTATATCAAAACGTTCAGCTAACCCTGCTGTCACTAAAAATGTTCACGGCTAGGACATACTCCTGATAGTTTTCAGAATATGACCATTTGTTTGCAACTCACCCCTCCCATTGACTTTCATTGAAACTCCACTCTAGATACCTGAAATTTTAAGGGACGTTTTTAAACTGCGACTGTGCCTTCATTTTTTATCTTTCAGAGACATACTATACATCAAAATTTAGCCCTGCTTCTTGTGATTATCACAATATAGAATACAAGTGTTTGAAGATGGCAATCGCCAGTGAAGTTGGCAAGTTTAAACACTGTTTAGAACAGACATGCTGACTGAGTGAGTTGCTACAGCAAACAAACATGACTCACACGCAGCTGAGTCATTGAGGCTAACTGTGAACTCCAAAATACAAGCTGAAATGCATTTCTACCTCTGTCAGGCTTGCTATGTGCACTGCTTACATTTCATGAATCATTTGGTAGGGGTTACTTGCAAGAACACTTTACACAATTTCCCCAGAAATTGTAGATTTTCTAGTTTTAATTATTACTTTATTATCACCCGTTGATCCGGTCACACACATAACACATCTACTGTCTCAGGGTGGTTACGCTCACTCCTTCACTACCTACAGAGGAGCAATGTAGCCACCCTTGAATAACAGCATTGTCTGCAGAGGGCAGCGTTAGACTGACTTTAAATACATATCAAGAGGAGGAAGAAAAAGAAACAAAAAAAAAAAGGATAGGAGAAAAAACACCTCACATAGAAGAAAAATAGACATGGTGCACAAAATATACCTATAATATGAAATAGGAACTTTATTATTATTATACAGGATTTATATAACACCAACAGTTTGCTCAGTGCTTTAATATAACTTACCTCAATCAAAACGATTTAAATCACCTTAGGGAAGGTGGCAACAACCAAATGCTCATTTAGCAAAAAGACCAACCCTCAAAGGAAGAAACACATGCTACTAAACAAAGATAACTATAGGTGAATATCTAAAGGGAGACCAGTAATTAAGAAATAGCAGCCACCAAGTTACCAATATCTGTAGAGACTCATCAATATTGCACTAGCACCACAACACCACCAAGACAAATTAGTACGTGAAATTTTGGGTACATTTTGGTACTTGTTGCAGGCAGATGATACAGTTTCTAAATACATTGGCTGTTCACCACAGATTACATTCCACAGTTAGGTCCATATATAGTTGGACAAAGGCACAATTTTTATACTTTTGGCTCTATATGCCAACAGAATAAATTAAAACAAAACAATCAAAATGAATTTGAAGCGCAGACTTTCAGCTTTAATTCACAGGGTTGAACATAAATATCAAATACAAA